ATGAGATTTTGACCCAATAAAATCTTACGACGTCATATGTTGGTAAACTAATTTATAATTTATTATGTACATGTAACACAATCGATTATTTAATTTTCTTATTTAATCTTTATAAAATAAATAAAAACACAAGTGATTTTTGTCGTCTAGACCCTACTTTAGCAATGTTACCTCATTAATTTTTTTCTTCAATCGATTAACATTAAACTATTAAAATTTATTGAATAATCAGATTTATTGAATAAAATATTATAAAAAAAGATTCTCAAAATTTCAAAGTAAACGCATTTTCAAATTTTCTATTTTGAAAAATAGTTTTTCAGAATGACAAAGAGAACATGTTTTCAACAATTCCAAAACAGACACTCAAAATAGAAAACAAAAAATGAATTCAAAACTCAAAATACAAAATTGAAACACAAAGAGAACGACTCTAAGTTTTTCTATTTATCTCCAAAAAATAATTGAATTTGAATTTTCGTCTGCATACTCGAGTCAAAACGGCCACCGAACTTTTTACTTCTTCACGCGTTTGCCACTCAGCTCCGAGTCATGCCATCACATTCTAGAACTCCGTGCAACATTTATTCTTGCCCAAAGTCAAGCGTCAACTTCCGCCACGCCAGCGGACCGTCTGGAAAATAAATTTGTTGGGGTCCACATGTACCTTGTCCTCCACGAAAAGAACTTTTTACCACGTATGTCGGAGGTGGCATGACTAGTTGTTGTACTATTACTTAATCAAGAAGGTTTTTCTGAATGAAAATATTGAATGAATTATTCCTAGATATTTATAAATAAATAAAATACAGGTAGGCGGCTTTCTATATTTGATTGAATGATTACATCTTTCTTTAAGAATTGACATATTAATGATCAATTATTAATCACCGGTCATTTTTTACTTGTTGCAGTGGTAGAATAGTAGTTAGAAGGATTAATTTGTATATCTTATCTTGAACGATGAAAAAAATTCATCAGGAGGGTTTCAATGCACGTTGTTAGAAACTAAAAAAATATTGTCAACAATTAGATATGTTAATTGAATAGAAAGTTAATGATAAAAAAAGCGATGAAAAAAGGTTAAAAATGTAAATGTCAAACTGAGTAAAAATTAGAATATGGTGCATATAATAAAAATCGAACATATTTCATTACTTGCTAACACATTCCATCCATCAAGACTAGTATAGAATATTAAGTAAAGGGTATTGTTTAAGTTTATAAAAATAAATAAACTTGGTCAAAATGGAAAGAGTATTAGGAGTGGGAGTGGTCCATTGCCTAGTAAATTAGGTTTTCGAGATGTGAATTAATTAGTATCCTAGAAAAATGTAACGTAGCGATATCAACCAGTTTTGCGCTACTGAATTTGCAAACCCTAGGGGAGTTTTGAACTTTTCAAAAGGTTTGACCACTGCTGGCAGGAAATTAAATTTTTCTACATTTTTTTCTCATCCAATCACATTTTACGTGACATATTCATAGGATTCTCTAGTGTTTGTTTGGGAAATTTGAAGTGAAAATAATTTATTTTTGATAATGTATAGTTCAAAATAAGTTTGAGGAAAAATAATTTTTAAATAAAATGTGTTAAACAAACGTTTAATACCAAATAAAAGTTTGAACGGCAATTTTCAAAGAATTAGCAATAAATAAGTAAATTATAAAATATATAAATAATATATTATTTAAGCTTTGCCAAACTTAAATTATAAATGTAGACTTTTTTACAGAAGGTTCCAACGTAATTTTCAAGGGAGAAAGTAGAAACAGTATATGTGGGCACACATCGACAAACCCTAAGCCCCAAAAAAGGATCTATTTATTAAAAATTAAGCTATTATAATAATAATAATCTAATTTTAAATGAAGAGATTATGGCATAATTTTGTTGTAAACTTTAAAAAAAAAAAAGAAAAAATGTAGAAGAGAGAGAGAGAGAGAGAGCCACTTGCTGCTAATGGGTCACATGAATCAAGGCGCTTAAAAAAGCTACTTATAAGTTATAATTAACGTGACGGACCAAGTAAAAGTTTTGCACCTGCGCCACCCATTTTCTTTACCATGCTCTAGTGTAAAGTCACGTCGCGTGTAAACTACATGGCACGAAATAATCTGCCACGTATCCTGCCAATCTACTACTTTTTAGATTTTCCTTCATTTATAAAAATACTCAATTTCAATTTTAGCTTTTTACTGGTGTTTGATGCATGTTATGGTGAAGAAAATACATTTTATGAAGTGATGTGATAAAAATATGTAGTTAAAAAATAAAGAATTTTTTTAAATTTACGTGTATCAAACACTAGCAATCATATATTTCATTCATTTTTATCGGTGCACTGTATTTCAAATTGTTGTCATGAACTAAAGAGTTTTAGGTAAAAATATGAGAAAGCGGGGTTCATGTATTGTTTCCCCAATTCAACAACCAGAAGTAGAAGTTGGCTTGCTTGACACGTCTTTTCAGCAATCAAACTCTATAAATTCACCGTATGTTGGCCTCTATTTTTCCTTCTTTTTCCTCTTCTCCCCCTCTCATTTTATGGTCACAATATTTTGCCTGTTTCTAGGGTTTGTTTAAACCAGACGTAGATTTTCGTTTTGTCTCTTTCTTTTCCATTTCTTTTCCCCTTTTTCTTCTTTTCAGAGTTATTCTTCGAATGTGGAAAGGACCCTTTTTGTGAGGCGGTGAATACCATATTAATTATTTGGATAATAATCAGGTATGAAGTATAGCTTAATTTTTTTGTTGTTTTCTTCACTCTAAACACTATAGAATGAATAATTACTATTGGAATTAAGCTGAAAACTGAATTCTTTTTAGACCTTTCTTTGTTTTCTGAAGATTTCTATATCAATATATTGCTGATCTTTTTTTTTTTCCATGTCAAAACATGTAAATTTTATGAGTTTTCTTCAGGATTGCTTTCTTGATGGGTTATTCTATGAACCCAAATGATAGCTGGTTCTGGGGTGTCTATTTTTTATGTGTATATTTTTGAATTTTATATGATGTCTGTAAATGTTTATGTGGGTTATATATATATATATATAAACATGTGTGGGCTTTCGTGGATTTGGCAGAAACGTTATTTAGTCTTTATTTGTCGGTTAATTGTGAATGTATGATTTTGTCGGTAGCTGTTTAGATGTTGAAATATTGGTTATGTGTCTTAATCAACTTTCGTAGATTGCATCGGAAAATGGAAATTAATATTAAGTCAAACGGCGTTTCAAGATCTATGGGGCCGGATTCATTTTTCCAGTCAACATTGCTTTATGCTGGTAGGAGCTTTCTGGGGTCTTTCTTTTTTGGCGTGTGTGGGTTCGGGTTGGAGGGGTGGGTGGGTGGGTGGGTGGCAATAATGAAATTATAGAATTGTTGGGCCATCTCTATTTTCAGATGATTTTTAGATAATTTCGATGCATTCGGCGTATAAAGTTGTATAAAGTTTTTTTGAATGGTCTTCGTGCCCCTGAATCTTGATCTGTTCTTTTATGTTTTCCTTTTTGTAGTTCGAAATCTGAATATCGACCTTAAATTAAATTCGTGCAAAGTTATCTTTTTGTATTGATTTTAGTTTCTAATGATGATGATGAATGATTCTTATATTTCTTAAAAGAAAAAGATATGGGCCTTCCCATGTGTGGTTTATGTAAATCTCTCTCTCTCTCTCTCTCTGGTGGTGGGTGGCCATCAAATTAAATAGCTGTTGGTAGTTGCATAGTGTTAAGGGATAAATACCAGTTAAATACCGAAATATAGACCAACATGTAAGGGTTTGGGCTACCATAACAATATGGAAGCACTTCAATTCGGTGCATTTATGTATTTTTGTTTTCCCAAGATTTGAACTTTAGCCTGCATAGAGTTACTACTGGTGCACTGAGGAAGTGGATAGGTAATATCCACAGGAATAATGCTATTTATAGTGAGGTATACACGTGACAGTTTGTTATTTGATATATTAATATAGTAAATTTTTATTACTTCATGTATCAAATAAAAAACTGTTATGTGTATGCCATATAAGCAACTACTAATAGTCTTCATTTAGGGCATCTGGGCATGTATGGTATGTGGCACTCGATATGATTTGATAGAATAATGAAATGCCTTCTGCACAAAAGTTGCAGTGATGTAATGGTCTCGATGGCGATAGCCTGTTTGGTTGAATTTTCTGTTTTGCACTCGTCTTGTATTGAGATATATACAACGAAGATTATGGATCTTGGTGTTCAATCTCGCATAGATTGTTAACAGTTGCATAAGCTTTGCATTCCAGGAGAAAAGAGATACTATATCGATTGGTTAGAAGTTTGCAGGCGAAAATGTTCCGTTGTGTGATAAATGCATTGTAGCTTTGGAGATGAGGTATCATATATTTTGTATTTCTGTATAATTGGAAGTTCAACCTCTCGAAATTGTAATTGACGACAACATGTTGGTGTTTTCTTTATCATCAGATTTTGTAAAGCTTGTGCTTGATGGACTGCTCGCCCAGCAGCAATATCAAAAAGACATTAAAGAGGTGGTTTTTCATAGATAAGAGGGTTGGATAAAAAAACTACTCATTACATATTCTGAAGTATCGCATTGTCTTGAAGTAGAGCAACACATTTTTTGGTAACGTTCGGTTGAAAGTTGTTCGATTTCAATGGACTTAAAGTCGACAAAAGCGTCTCCTGTTCTCACCGATCCTTCGCCTATAAACAACTCTAGACTGGGACACCATTCCGGTCTCTTTCCATATTCACAATCAGGGCCATCTTTCTCAACGAGCATGCTATCAATTCCAAGAAGGAAGCCAGGGAAACTGGACGATGTTTGGTCCAACGGGTGGCTTGATGCAATGAAATCTTCCTCACCTCCCCGCAAAAAGGTTCTGAAGGGTTTCACCAATGTTGAGCTATCTTCAGATGATGGAGAAATCGCTTATTGTTCTTGGATGGTGCGTTTGGAAACCCTTTAGATTTCCTCCTTCACAATCTTCTTGATAATAATTACAATTAACCTAGTCTTCATGTTTTTATTTTGCAGATCAAATATCTGTCAGCCCTCAATTCCTTCCAACAAATAATGGACAGTGCAAAGAATAGGAACATAGTAATGTTCTTAGATTACGATGGAACTCTTTCACCTATAGTAGATGACCCTGATCGAGCTTTTATGTCTGCTGATGTAAGCATCTTCTCAGCTCATAATAATTTTTTTCAAGATTTCGAGTGTTTTGTTCACATTATGGACTGTGCTAATATTTCAGATGCGCTCTGCTGTTAAAAATGTTGCAAAATACTTCCCAACAGCCATCATCAGTGGAAGAAATCGTGATAAGGTCAACATAGGAATTTCTCCATCATACCATGCTCTTCCAGTTACTTAAGATTATTCATTTTCATGTTAGTTGTAATATGTCTTATTTTCTTTAACATTATCAGGTTTTTGAGTTGGTAGGACTAACAGAACTCTATTATGCTGGTAGTCATGGTATGGACATCATGTTCCCAGCCAGAGAAACAGCATCCCTAGACCATTTAAATTGTGTCAAATCTACTGACCTGCAGGTATTACTCGGCAGCCTAGAGACAAATTTTCATTTTTGAAAGATAGATTGTGATTGTCTCTCGTTATATGACTATATCCACATAAAAAGTTGCATTCGTCTAATTATCCACCTTTTGCATTTAAAGGGCAAGGAGGTAAATCTTTTCCAGCCTGCTAGCGAATTTTTACCAATGATCAACGAGGTGTGTGCTTGTTTTTCACTGATGAATTTATATAATTTCAAAGAACAAACTATGATCAATGAACATCATTAGTAAAGTTTCTTGATTTTTCTTTTCATTCAGATATTTAGATCCCTCGTTGAGATTACTAAAGGTATAGAAGGTGTAAAAGTTGAGAACCATAAATTTTGTGTCTCCGTACATTATCGAAATGTTGATGAGATTGTAAGTATTTTTTCCTTTGGATCTCCTTCAATGTCATTGAATCCCTCACATTTCATTTGTCATTAGTTTGGCTTATAACATTTTCTGTACTTTCGCTCTTCCAATATTCAGGTTTGGCCCGTAGTTGCACAATATGTTCATGATACCTTGAAATATTACCCTCGACTACGGCTGACTCATGGACGGAAGGTAATTGACTCCAATACCTTTTGAGTAAAACGAGAACTTTCCCTCCCCTCATGTTTCTGGATGATACTTTTTTATATGTTGAATGGATGAACAAAATACTTATGAGCAAGTCTCTGTTCTTCTGTGCATAGGTTTTAGAGGTTCGTCCCATGATCGACTGGGATAAAGGAAAAGCAGTCGAATTTTTGCTTCAATCCCTTGGTCAGTAACTTGGTCTGATTTAAACGTCATAGATTAGCAACGCTTCATTTGTTTATTGAAAAATGAAACACGATCTTGCAGGATATAGTAACAATAATGATGTGCTTCCTATTTATATTGGAGATGACAGAACCGACGAAGATGCGTTCAAGGTAAACACTAATCTAACTTCCGAACAGTCAACTCATTTATCGATGTAATAATGTGATTTTGTTCTGTATCAGGTATTGAGGAAGGGGAATCGAGGTTATGGAATTCTTGTATCCAGTGTCCCTAAAGAAAGTAATGCTTTCTTCTCTCTCAGGGATACTTCAGAGGTGAGAATTTACATCAATATTGCGCTTTATTTTATTTCCGACTATCATTTTAATTTCAGAGTTTTGTAAGTTAAGCCACTTTAATATATGCAGGTGAAAGAATTCCTTGAATCCCTTGTGAGAATGAAGCAACAGGATGCAAAGATACTTGGAGAGGAGCAGAGGGCCATCTTCATATAATACAAATTTATCTTATATTAATTAGGTTTTTTAATTTATACACTTTATTTGGTATGGCAGCTAGGCCATTAATTTTTTCAATAGTTTTTATTTTTGAAGTACTTTATTGTTTTATTTACCATCTAATAAACTTTTGCTAATTGTAAAGCTTTGTTCTTTACCATGGATTATGTGGGATCTAATTATGTTCGCTTCCTCTAATTTGTTATTTCTTTTATTGTGTTAATTAATTTAATTTTTGTTGGATTTTGTCGAATGAGTATGTGTTCTCTTAGTGCTGATATTTGCATATTAGCAGTGTTTATGCTTGGTGCATTTTCGAAATGTCCCGCATATGATGTATGTACGTTATAATGTGGTCAATTCATTTCGCTGATCGCATATGCACATTTGAAAAACAAAATGCACACGCATTTGAGTTAAAATTAGCTTAGCAAAATTCAACTCATTTTTATAATTTTTTTTGTTTTTTAAACAAACAAATTGACCCCGACAAATATCAAATTAGCTCAAATCATCCAAGCTCATGAATTATATACGGCAAATTTTTATGTGCGGTTTTGAAGTTTAGAAAAATAAAAAATCAAAACAAATTTTTCGTAGATTTACAAACTATCTATATCGAGTTTGAGCTTCCTTCTTTGACCTTCTTCTAATTTTACTAGTAAATGATGCTAGTAGTGCACAATCTTCAATGGATGATGGTTGTGAAGATGAGGAGGATGTTGACAATGATATATTACCATCTATAAGAGGTAATAGAAATTCTCGAGTTGAAATAAGAGAGTCTGATGAAAATGATTTTTCATCGGATGACACGAAAAATGACTTTGTATGAAGAAGAGAAAATGATATATATGCTAAAAATCATAAGTACTTGATATTTTATCGAAATGCATTGTCACGCAATACATATTTTAGAACCTACATATTTGGTGCGAAATACTAACAAGTGCTTGATATGGTGTATGTTGAGTGCTCCTGTGGATGTTCTCCAAGAGTCCTTCAATCGTGCATCGATTAACTTTGTAACCGAAAAATTTTCAGGATGCAACTCCAAAGATACTTTTAAGTACTCGATAATAATATATTCAACATTTTGTACTAAAAGAAGTGTGTTCTCCAATTGTCGGGAATATGAGAATTAAATTGCACTAGGAGCACACGTCCATAAAATTAAGTGATCAATCTTGGAAAGTGAAATTGCACGTTCTCCAGTTTTCATTAGAGAACTCGAATCTTTTACCAAGACTATACTGGACACAACACAACTAAAAATTCACATATGAATATGTTATACGCCTTCTTCCTTCATGGTGTCATATTTTTTATGGTAACGCCAATTCTTAACTTATGTAATGCTACTTTGCATAGTCCACTTTTTGGGTAAAATATTACTTGAATTTCACTGAGATGCAACAAAGTGGCAATACAAATATGATGCTTTCGCATGTCAAGGTTTTGTTTTCAACCCATGGGGAACATATCACAAATCACCGTGCAGTATTGCATATAATTAATCGAGAACATGTTAAGAGCGAAAATCACAATAATTAAGATCATCACCGGCTTTGGCATGAACTTTCCAGAATCATCTAGGATTTTACCAACCTTATTATTCCCTCCTCAACCATAGAAGAGTGTGGAGAAAATTTTAAAATCATGCCCACCGCCATTCTAGAATATTCCAGGAGAATGCCATATATAACCGTTGTGAAGCAAAACTGCCAATTGCACCAAGGAATACCGGGCTCAGAATGCTCAATCGACACTACAATATGAAAACCCAAACACAAACCCATGAGCCGAACGGTTGCTCTAAGTTTCTGCCCACAAAGAGAACTTTGGATGAAGAGTATTATAGCCACAGGTTAGCCACAAAGGCCAAAGAGAGGAAGAAGAAACAGTAGTACACAGCCAATTCGAAAGGCAGGGAGCACAAAGCCAAAAACAGCTGCTTTTTCTCTCAAAGAAAGGCTATGAATAAGTCTTAACCACAACAGTAACGAGGCATGGGATATATATAAGGATTGGGTATATGATTTTAGGGTTAAGCCCAATAAGGAATGATAAGGCCTAAATAGGAACAATAAGTGGGCTATCAACATATAAGAGTCATCCAAGTTTGGGTTGGGCCATGAGCAGCCCTAATTAAGATTAGGCTGCTTATAATGGCCCAACTAGGTTATATGGTTGGTTTACTAAATTGTGGTGTCGATATACCTTCAGTCATTTGGTCGATGCTGAATGAACTAAACAATACTTTCATCATCGTCTACGGAGGTCGTTTGACAACAATCTGCCTAACAATCATTAATGGAATACGCTAGACCAAAAATCACCGACATTAACACCCATAAATACAACGCAACCGTGTGTATTGTGCGTGTGAAGTGAGAGGTGTGTGATAGTAAAAATAGAGAAAAAGAAGTGAGCGAAGAGAGAGAGAGATTCAAGGTGCTACCAATATAAAATGGAAAATGCCATTCGTTCAAACAATGGATGACAATGAAAGTTGACAATTGATGATAAAATAATATTTTTTGGAGTCTGAAATTCAACAATTTGGTATCAAAGCAAGATGATCGGTGACAGATTTTTGAGCTTCTAGAGTTCGTGTACCAAAGGAGATTGTGAAATTTTTATAAAGCTTGCTTGATTACAAGGAGGTGAATCAAGTCACGATGAACAATCTACAAACGATAGCCGAAGTAAAGAAGCTCAATAATTAGAATTATACAACATGACAGACTTACATGGAGTCATATCTCCAAGGGCAAGATCTATGGGAATTAGTCGATGGAAGTGAGGTGACGCCACCAGATGAAACCGCGACTCTGAAGAAGTGGAGAATCAAAGCAGGTAAGATTATGTTCGTTATAAAGAAAACAATCGAAGAAGAATTGTTGGATTATATAAAGGACAAGACTAAGCATTGGACACCTTGACCACACTATTCTCCAAGAAAAATGACTTGAGATTGCAATTACTGGAAAACGAGCTTCTCTTAATTACTCAAGACAAATTGACAATAAATCAATATTTCAATAAAGTTAAATCTTTTTGTCGCGAAATTTCAGAATTACATTCTTCGACTAAGATTTCGAAGTCCAGAATTAGAAAAATAATCATACATGGATTGAGACTCGAATTTAGAGGTTTCAATGCTGCTATACAAGATTAGTCAGAGCAACTTTCATTGGTCAATTTTAAAAATTTGCTGAATGACCAAGAACCTTTAACCATCAAATGTTAGGAGCCTCAATAAATAAATAAAAGAAAGAAGCGTTATTCAACTATAAAAGAAGGGATCAATTCCGTGAACAAAATAATAAATAATTAAAAGAAGGTAAATTTAAAGGTCTTGTTGAAGAAAGCTATCAAACAAGGAGAGTTCAACAAAATTGCAATAAAAGAGGTTAGAGATATCAACTAACTAATGACTCATACTTTGTACGTGAAAAACGAGGTTATTATGTTAGAGATTGTTGGTTTAAAAAGGAACTAGCAGATGAGAATATAGCAACTTCTAACAAGGAAGAAAAATATAATAGTGTAGAAGAATGAGAAGTTGAGACATCCACAACAATAATTGAGCAAACTCGAGAGAATAAATTTAATTCAAGTATAAATGACGAATTAGCATTAATAGTAGTCTTACTTGAACAAACGGATTTCGAAAATAATTAGATCGATGACTCGGAGAAGATGATTGGACCAATGATTTAGAAAGCGACATCGTGGTTCATAAATAGTCTTCTTGGTGAACTCCACAGAGGGAGGAATTACCAAACTCAGAATATGTGTTTGAAGAAGCATATGATTGGCAGTCACCACAAAGGGCAGAGCAGCTAGATTTAAAAGAGATGGATAACAAGGTGAAGGAAAAGATGTCAGAGCAAATCAATGAACAAAATGCTTTCGAAGATAATAGAGGAATCTAAAGATTAAGAGATATCAAGTGATAAAGAAGAGTTTATAAGAGTGACACAAAGCACGGAGAATCGATAGGGTCAGCAAGAGATTAAGTTACATGCAAATTCACAATATCACATAAGAAAGTCGAGTGGATGTGAGAAATCAAAAATCAAACATGCTAACCTAAAAATCGTTGAAGAGGAAAGTATGGAAGAGCCAAATATGTTTGAAGTCGCGAGTGTGTTGAATGAAGGACCGAACGTTTCAAATTTTCAAACACAACTGAGCGTAACTAAAAAAAAAGAGTCAAAATGAAAAGTCGGTACTGAAGTGGAGAATTGAAGATCATCACCGACTTTGGCATGAATTTTCCACAATCATCTAGGATTTTACCAACCATATTATTCCCTCATCAACCACGGAAGAGTCTGGAGAAAATTTTAAAATCATGCCCACCACCATTCTAGATTATTCCAGGAGAATACTATATAACCATCAATGGAATACTATAGACCAAAGTCCACCGACATTAACACCTATAAATACAAGGCAGCCGTGTGTATTGTGTGTGTAAAGTGAGAGGTGTGTGACAGTAAAAACAGAGAAAGAGAAGTGGGTGGAGAGATAGAGAATCAAGGTGCTGCCAATATAAAATATGAGAGAGAGAGAGAGAGAGAGAGAGAGNGAGAGAGAGAGAGAGAGAGAGAGAGAGAGAGAGAGAGAGAGAGAGAGAGAGAGAGAGAGATTGTGGTGTAAGTGGTGCGTATCCAAAATTGTGTATAAGTCCATTTCATAAATGAAATAATATTTCTCTTTGAGTCTGAAACTCAACAAATAATTGTCTCAAAGCTTGGATGATGTTGAAGAGGAAGAAGGTCAATCTACTTAATTGCAGGAATTCAAGATTAAGGATTTTACATACTTTTTTCTATGACTCAAGTATCCGAACTTCGTCATACCATGATAGACTAAACTTTTTTGCTAGGATCATTGATGAAACCTAGTTAATCCTTTAATTCAATAAATTACTCATTTGTAGTTTAACTTCATCGGTTAACAATAATGGATTCACTATCCAAGTATATTAATTGCTTATTGAAGTTGATAGTTAGAATAACCCAAAATCATTGATTTTGTGAATTCCAAATTAGCGCTAATTCACAACATATCTCATCTTTATCAGCTAGTTTAATTTGAGTGAATTATTCTAACCCAGGTTTGATTTGTTTTCTAAAATTCATTTTTTTCTAAAACTCATTTTAATGTTATTTGCAGCGAAGATTGTTGGTAGTAACATTACTCTTTTTAATCGCACGTTTCTTAGGATCCACAACTTTTATAAATTCTTTAACATATGATTTTATAAAAATCTATTATCTATATGACTTTTAACTAGATCAAACAAGAGCTTAATTTGACCTCTTGTTTGAGCCCATTTTTTTCATCAAAATTCATTACTAAACAGTGATTTGATCACATTACAATTATACATTTTTTAATAAAATAATATTACACGTAAACTCAAAAATTTTCTTCATTTTTTAATTACACATTCTCCATCGTAACACTGTTGTAAAATATATATTTTTTTGTAAAAATTGGAACTCAAACAAGTCCCGAGTGAATTATTGTATGCATGTTAAACTTTATTTTATATATTGAAAAGGTACATTAGCTAAAACTGATAATAAGATCATTCTTGAATAAATTAGTCTTAATTGCCATTCTTGAAAATCCCGTGTTATAAAATATAAAAAAGTAATGCTACACTTACACACTTGGTTGACATTCACTTTCACATTTATCTCACATAAGGGGTGGGCCCACATTTTAAAAAATGGCAGGGTCCATCTCTTATGTGAGAAAGATGTGAAAGTGAATGTGAACCAAGGTGTGTACATTTAGCATTTTTGAATATAAAATTTGTTTGAATATGAGCAGTTTTCACATGGGCTCGAGTTGAATAGCAATAAATGATTATAACCCAACTCAACCATTCCCATTTATGTGGAATTCACTGAACAAAGTGGGTCCTAAATTTGGTGAAATTTGCTGCCAATCATGTGGAGCTCTCACAAAGATCGTGTACAATTCTTTCATCAAAGGAAAATTACGGTTGGATTCATCAACCGTAATTTTTATTTAAAAAATATGAGGAACAGATAAGTCTTGTCACTTTCTTAATGGGGTTCATCAGAAACACGATTTGATAATTAATAACATGTTGATGATATGAATTTAACAGAAGTGTTTTGGGACTTAGGGTCCGTTTGATTACAAAGTTGGAAAATGGGTGGAAAGAAAATGTTTTATAGGGAATTGATTTTCCTAGAAAATGTTTTACTGGNTTGTATGGAAGTTGTCAATAAAAGTGAAAATTTTTTTTACCATTGTATCTAGAATTTGTTCACATTGCAACAAAAAAAAAAGCAAAAAAAAAAATGGTGGAAAATGTTTTCCCACCAAATAGGTGAGAAAACAAAATCAAGTTTTTGTGCATCAAAGGATTGTACCTAGAAAAAGGTGGAAAACCAATTTCAGGGAAAAAAAGTGCAATCAAACACGACAAAAGTAGGAAACGGAATTTCAATTCCAACTTCCATGAAAAATAAAGGGCTATCAAACAGGCCCTTAGTGCAACAACGAACAAGAATACAAGCCATAAATCTGTTATGTATGTATAAAATGACAATCTTATGTTTAACTTAAATAGCATAAATAAAATAAATTAACAAAGAAAAATGAAAACAAAACAAAAGAATAAATAAAATATAAGCAAAAGAATGGGGAAATAAATGTCTTCCTAGGGATCATGTTCTACGTTTCCATCCCCAATCCTTAACGAGGTGGGCAATATAGGAAGGGCCGAAGTACATTGCTATCCCTGTCCATTACCCCCCACCCCATTTCCAACAGTGAAAAATGGTGGTTCCCCCTCGTTCCTTGGCTGCCATTGGCCGCGAAATCAATGGTCAGACAAAAATTGATTGAAAACGTGATAACTACTTTGATAAAAGATTAAGGATCAAATATGCAATTTACGCTCTATGATATGGTGACCATGGAAATACAGATATGGGTATTAACAAATGAACTTTTTATGAGACATATCATCCTCTATATTTAGGTCGTGTCTGGGCGCGATTTTTGTCCAATGCCAATCAATCAATTGATTTCTGTCCAATGCCAATTAAGAAAATATTGTCTTGCCATAATTGATTTCCGTAATTAGTGCATAAAAAACTGCACACAATTTAATGAAACGGTAGAAACCAAAAAAATTGGGCACAACTTATGCTATTTTGTAACATATTATGCTATTGAATAGTCCCATTATTTTTAAAATATATATTTTCTTCTTTTTTATTTTCAACGACATATTTTTAAATAAAATAATATTATATGTAAATTCAAAACTTTTCCTTATTTTTTAATTACATATTTTCCATTAAAATACTATTACGAAATGCATTTTTATATATAAAAAAAAGGGGCTCAAACACTCATAATGTTAGTGTCTTTCTACTACAATAACTAGGTGCCAAAAATTAAAGGCGAGAATAATAAAATGGGAGAAGTCTCAAATTAATTGTTCCAATGGTCACCGAACTTACGTCCATATCTTCAATTGCTCACTGAATTTTGAGATGTTGATTTTTAGCCACAAAACTTTGAAAAATGTTGGACATTACTAGTATAACTTTCGTTTAAAACTTCTAATGTAATTGATGACGTGGCCGACGAAATGTACACGTGGCGCCTTGTCGCGTCGTTAAACTTTGATATGGCTGAATTTTGATTACTAAACTTTGGAAAATGTCTTTCATTACTCACTAAACTTTTAAAAATATATCTTTTATCGCTCACTGAACTTTAAGGTAGTTGTATTTTGGCCACTAAACTTAAAGATAATTGAATTTCGAACACTAAACTTTGAAATAGTCGAATCTTGACCACTAAACTTTACAAAGGCTTTCGATTTCTCACTAAATTTTGAAAAACGTTTTCTATCGCTCATTATACTTTGAGATGATCAAATTTTGACTACTAAATTTGAAAAATATCTTCTATTGCTCACAATAAAATTGGATTTAATTAAAATTCATTGTTAAGTTTTGATTTAAAATTTGAATTTAATTTAATTTTAACAAATTTAGCCCCTATTTGGTACCGATTAAAATTTAAATTTTAAGTTAAGTCAAATTAACAATCAATTTTAACTACAGATTTTATGAGTTCAATAACTTTTCAACCACATATTCATCAACTTTTATCAAAATTTATTAAAAATCTGATTTTAATCAATACCAAACAAGGGTTCAGTCCATGTTTGGTAGAAATTAAATCTAGATTTTTATTAAACTCAAATTCAACAAATAATTTTAAACACATATTTATGGGACCCATAACTTTTCAACAACACATTTTATTAAAAGTAAAATTTAATTTAGAGGGTTTTTGTTGGGGATTAAAATTTGATTTTTAGTAAATTGTGATAGAAGTTTTTGAAATATGTGGTTGAAAAGTTGTGGGATCTATGAAAGATGTGGTTAATATTGATTGTTTGACTTTGATTTGGATTAAAATCAGATTTTAATCCGGACCAAATATGGGCTTAATTTTAATAACAAATTTATTGTATATTTCATTGTAATTATTAGTCACTTTCTTTGCACAGCTTTACAACCATTTTCTATCGTAATATTTGAATTTTGCAACGAAATATAAAATAAATTTGTTATTTGAGTCACATTATTTTGGAAGAATGTATTTTAGAATAGTAGATTGATGGAGAAATATTATTTTATTGAAAAATGTGTGATTGAAAATGAGTAGAAGAATGTAAACGAAAATTTTAATGTGGCTCAAACGGGGACTAAATATACAATAGTTAGAATTAAATTAAATTCAAATTTAAATCCAAATTTTAACAACGAATTTTAATTAAACCCAAATTTATTATGAAGAGTAAAAGACGTTTTTCAAATTTTGGTGGCCAAAATTCGACCCCTCAAAGTTCGGTAAGTAATACAATATGTTTTTTCAAACTTTAGTGAGCAAAATTCGATTATTTAAAAGTTTAATGGCATGACGGGGTGTCACATGTGCATCCGTTATCTATTTCTCCAATTTAGTTAGAGATTTTAAAGGGAAGTAATATCTTGAGTGACGTCCAACGTTGGACATTTTAAATTTTAGTACGCAATTGAAGACATAAACATAAATGCAGTAACCATCGGAACAATTAACTTGCAAGTCTCATCTCTTTTTCTAAGGTTCAAAGCTCAAACCTATACACTTACCAGGAAATGTAATTTTAAACATCTTTCAATTCAATTTTATTTATGCTGTATCACCTGTATTAAATAGGTCTTATATTTATATATTTAAATAAATCAATGGTCCTGTTCGAGCTCCATGTTTTGACAAAAATGTATTTTAAAATAGTAATTTGATGGAGAATATGTAATTTAAAAAATAAGAAATTTTTAAAGTTTATTTATAATATTATTTTATTCAAAAATGTGATTGAAAATAAGAGAAATAAATGTATTTTAAAAGCATGGTCAACAAAGTAGGCTAAATGTTAGATGTATAGTCAACCGACGAATGCTTTTGCAGAAATCCCTCCAACAGTACACTTTCATTCTGTTCTCTATTCTAGACGAAGCCCACAATTTTTAATTACACCCCTGCCTCCAAACCCAAAAAGAGCCGTTTATTTGAGCTTTCGAAACATAGACACATTACATCTTCTCTCTTTATCTCTCTGCTACTGTTTTTACTTCTCCAATTGATAATGTAACTTAGCAAATACTAGAAAAAAGATTGTCTGTTTGGTGTTTGAACCGTGCTATCCTCAAAATTCTCGAACTGAAAATACACATGGCTTCGTGTAGCTACTTCTTGCTCTTGTTCATCCATATTTGCTTGTTGTTGGGCTTGTCCTTTTCTGAAGATCCATCTGTTAGCTATGAATTTGCTGTCTCCTATATTACTGCTTCTCCTCTCGGTGTTCCACAGCAGGTACACACACACACACACACATATATATTATTTGATTTTACTCTTTTCTGAATAGAATCTATCGATTTTATAGCTTTTAGTGATGCGGGTCTGCTTATAATTTACTTGGGATTGATGGGTTTGCTTTATACTGTAAAAAGTTTAAATCTTTTAACTGCAGATCTAAGAAATGTGTACTAAAGATTTGAACTTTAGGCTTGGATGGCTAAGATTCTTGAACTGCATTGCTCTATAATGCAGGTTATTGCTATAAATGGGAAGTTTCCAGGTCCCACAATTAATGTGACCACTAACAACTATGTTGTTGTTAATATGAGGAACAAATTAGATGAAGATCTCCTTATGCATTGGTAGGGCTTTTGAAGCAATTTAGATTTTGAAACTGATTTGAAAATGTAGGTAACTTTTAAGTGATTATAAAGATTTGTGTATTTGATGGGTGAATTAGGTCTGGTATACAACAGAGGAGGAGTTCTTGGCAAGATGGGGTTCTAGGAACAAATTGCCCTATCCCTCCAAAGTGGAATTGGACTTATGAATTTCAGGTTAAGGACCAGATTGGGAGCTTCTTTTACTTCCCTTCACTCAATTTTCAGAGGGCTTCGGGCGGGTTTGGCACATTTATTATTAATAACAGAGCTATTATTCCGATTCCTTTTGACACCCCTTATGGGGATATCACAATTGTGATTGGTGACTGGTACACCCAAAATCACACGGTTAGTGTTTGTGCATTGTTGATCTTATGTATCTTTGAGTCGGGAAGTTGTTACTTTAAATTTATTGGTGAATGTGAAATTTCATCTATCTTTAGGCTTTGAGGAGAACCCTTAATTCCGGGAAAGATCTGGGAATGCCAGATGGTGTACTAATTAACGGAAAAGGACCTTATAGATACAACGATACTCTTGTTCCTGATGGGATTGATTATGAAACAATTACAGTCCACCCAGGTGAGTAATGTGGTATCTAACTCATAAAGCTGTCCATTTATGTTTGAACTTAAGTCTTTATTAATAAACATCATTGTCTTCCAAAGACACGTACATTTTGGTAGATATGTAATCACAATATTAAGTAAATGGCACACGTTGAGAGATTTGACTTGATATGTGGTTGTTGGAGTAGTTCTCTGATATATTATGCCTTTAAGAATCACTTTTTATCCAACGTTTGTGCCTTCCAAAGCCTCTACTAGTACTTAAGAAAAGGGAAGAATTGGACTTTTAAAGTAACACTATTCAAGATAGGGTCATCACTCAGTGAACCCTAATATGCACGGCTTTTAGCATGATATGAAAAGATCTGTCGAAAAGATTTAAGAACTTAATCTGTCGCCTATAGAAAATAAAAACCGTGACTTCCATGTTCAGCCGCTGAATGCATTCCAGATTACAATATCTTCGTGTTATTTGAAGTCTGCCCATATCTACATTTATGTAAGCTAATGGGGTATTGCCACGTATAAATTCTCATACAGCATCAGTGTATTGTAATGACGCAAGTTCTGGGAGTGAAAATAAAAACATACTCAAAGTTAAAATGATTTCTATTTCCAATACTGTATATTTGTATAGTAATATTCAGTTCTTCTGCAGGCAAAACTTACCGGATTCGTGTTAGCAATGTTGGAATATCAACTAGTTTGAACTTCAGAATTCAGAACCATAACCTGCTTTTAGCAGAAACTGAGGGTTCGTATACAGTACAGCAGAATTATACCAGCTTAGATATTCATGTTGGTCAATCATACTCGTTTTTAGTAACCATGGATCAAAATGCAAGCAGTGATTACTACATTGTTGCAAGTGCCAGGTTTGTGAATGAAACAGTGTGGCAAAGAGTCACTGGTGTTGGTATCTTGCATTATACTAACTCAAAAGGGAAGGCATCTGGTCCTCTTCCCGACCCACCACAAGACCAATATGACAAAACCTTCTCGATGAACCAGGCGAGATCAATCAGGTATGTCCTTTTCTCATTGAATATTAAAGAATTTCTACATTGACTCCCTTCAACTATTTAAAACAGTTAAGAATTGACATTCGAAGATATCTATTGCATCAAAACATGTACATTACACTAGGTCTTATTCACAATGATGCTGATGGAGATTGAATCTACTAGTTCATTGTCAAACGTATAGGAGTTGCTCATTATAACACGTGTAAAATTCTGATGTGGGATTTTTTTTTTCCTTTTTATTTCTAATATCCTTTGCGCACTGGTAATTCTTTTGGTGTTTTTCATTATTCAGGTGGAACGTGTCTGCCAGTGGTGCTCGACCAAACCCTCAAGGTTCTTTTAGATATGGTTCGATTAATGTGACTCAGGTGTATGTGCTCAAAAACAAGCCGCCGGTAATGATTGATGGGAAAAGGCGGACTACTCTTAGCGGGATCTCCTTTGTCAACCCCTCTACCCCAATCCGGCTTGCTGACCAATCCAAAGTTAAGGGTGTGTACAAGCTTGATTTTCCCACCAGGCCACTTACTGGTCCACCTCGGATGGAAACATCTGTTATAAATGGTACTTATAGGGGATTTATGGAAGTGATATTGCAGAACAATGATACTAAAGTATATACATATCACATGAATGGATATGCATTTTTTGTGGTGGGGTATGATACGAATTCTTTCAGTATTCAATATATCTTAAATCAGAATGTGACAATGTTTCTCATATTGTGATTAACCACTTCGTCTAATTAAACTACAGAATGGATTATGGTGAGTGGACGGATAATAGCAGGGGCACGTACAACAAGTGGGATGGAATTGCTCGCACTACAGCACAGGTAATTTTTCTAAATTTTGTTTTTACTGACGTCATTTTCGAAATTCTGGCATCATTTGGTAGAAATTAAGTGAACTTATTTTCACATTGAAACAACGAAAATATACTCTCTCCATTGAATGGAAAATCAAGCTCTAAAAATTTGAATTAAAAAATATGACCTATTAGCTGTTTAAAAGCCCTGGCAGAAAGAGTGTAGGTTTTCTTCTTGTTTGTAGAAAACAAGATATCTGCTGTATCTTATTCTTAACTAAAATAGAAGAAGCTAGTTATAATTCACTTTAATATAGGTCAAAAGGTTGTGATTTTTGTAATTTAGTTCTACTGCAGCTCTTCGTTTTAAGTCTCCAGTTGTAAAACACAAGTGATGATTGCAACTATTTGAAAATTCGTAAACAATGAACTCAACTCCTATGTTATATATTGGAACATTTAGTACTTTCTAGGAACGTTTTGTGCTTGGTATTGGACAGTACTGGATAGTACAAGGAAAACATACAAATATTTAATTTGTTTTTCTTAAAAGATTCCAGGGGTTATTTAATTTTTATTGTTTTCTGGAAGTTGCAGCGATATCTCATTTCTTTCCCATTGTGTAGGTTTACCCTGGTGCATGGACGGCAATCTTGATCTCACTAGACAATGTCGGAGTTTGGAACATCAGGACCGAGAACCTCGACTCATGGTACCTAGGCCAAGAAACCTACATCAGAGTTGTCAATCCAGAGCCCAATAACAAAACCGAGTTTCCAATGCCAGATAATGCCTTATTCTGCGGTGCACTTCACAGATTGCAAAAGTACGTATTTAAACACACTGCTATCTGAAATTCTGAATTTGCATTCTAAGCTCCCCGTTTGATGGTCATTATTTTGAAAAAATGGAGTTTTGAAAAGTGATTTTTTTTGGAGAGTTTGTAGTTAATAAATCGGAAAAAGTTTTGAATTTACGTGTATGAAAATGAGTATGATAATTAAAGAGTTTTGAAATAATGGTTATCAATCAGGGACTAAATTTTAGTTGCATCTAAGTTCCCTTTTCACTAATTATTACCTCCGTTGTCCCTTTTTTCATGTTTAGGCCGCAAGATATATCTTTTGCAACTCCAACTGGGGGCAATGGATCAAAAATGTTACTCGGTTTGCTGATGATGATATCTGCTCTTATTTTGATGTTCATTTAAGAGCTTAATATGTGATACCGACTTTATTTTGCTTGTGGTAGTCTGCCTTTTGCTTAAGAGGGTTGTTGTACTTGTTTGGTTTTAGGCATGTTATTTTTTCTTTCCGGATGTAAGCTCCCGCAGATTGCTAATTAATTCATTGGAATTCACCATTCTTTTAATATTTAAACTTAATGTAATGAAGACAATTCATTAGTTCTTAGTTTCAGTAGAATATAAGATGTTGATTTTCCCTTGCTAAAATGAAGAAAGCCATAGGTGTGCAGCATTTGTTTTCATGTTCTTGAACTATATATATGCACAGACACAAAATGCAATCCATTGAGAGTCGTAGATATGTTTGGTAAGGTGGGTTAGACATTATTGGATAATGTAAGGAAGAAAACGTAATTTTATTGGTTCGAATACTATCTAGTACTGTATCTTGTACTGTATACATAAAAAGTACATGTATTGGATACATCAAAAGTACGTTTAGTTCGGGTAACGAAGCTCTTGTTTGTATGTTGCTCGTTTTAGATAGCAGGACATTTAAGCACACCGCATTAGGTTTGGCTGTACTGGCAAGGATTCTTTCCCCTTCTGGACCAAGATGGCCAGCCTGTGATGATGGTTCTTTTCAGATTTTCACGTGGCTGGTTGGGAATGCTTTATGAACTGTTTATTGATTAATGATTCTGATATAAAACCAGTAAAACTCTTTCCAGGCAGAAAGGATAGTGCATGAGACAAGAATCCTCAGGGTGATGCAGATAACTAGGGATTTTTGGTGTGTGAGACTAATACAAAAAATATTTTTGAAGTAAAAAATACCGTGTCACTTTTTAATATAAAAAATGACACTTAATTTTAAAAAGTGACATAATGTTACTTTTTTTATTAAATTGGGAGGGTGCTGTGTGTATAGTTGCTAAGAAGTAATATACAACAAAAAAAGTTAGAAACTTAGAAAAAGAGAGAAAAAAAAAATGACTTAACACTCAAAAAATGATAAAAATTCAAAAAAGTGATACACACAAAAAAAGTAACAAAACACCAATCAAAACTTTAAAATGTCACTTTTTTTTTTTAAACAACTCACTTTTTAAAATTAAATGTCATTTTATGTCACTTTTATTAAAAAGTGACGTTTATCACTCAAAAAATGACAAAAATTCAAAAAAATGTAAAAACACAATAGAAAAAGTGATAGAAAATTAAAAAAAAAAAAGTGACCAAATTTCAAAAAATGGACAAATACTAAAACAAAAAAGTAACAAAAAAGTGCGTGAAGCATCATATCCACCAAGTTATTCCAAACAATCAATATACACCCTCATAGAATTCACTGATTTTCAGCAACTATACACACAGGACCCTCCCAATTCCATCATACACGGACGACTTATGGCCTCTACACAACGAAACCTCAATCCCACAGTTCAAAATAATCCCACAATTCCATCATACACGGACGACTTATGGCCCCTCCACTTATGGCCTCTCCACAACGAGAGAAGGAAGTGAGTTCTTCTCATGGTTGCCGCTGCTTTCAATTCTAATATTGAAGAAGGGCTTCAGATGGGTACAGCTCTAAAAGCAGGATTGAAATAAATCGACCACCCAAGTTTCACCAGCTTCGTGTTGGAGGAGTTCAAAAGTGCTACCTTGCTTATCTGCTGTAGTTTGCTTCATTACAGGGATTGTCGTAATTTGCTTCTCTGCTGTAATTTGCTTCATTGGTGGAGGAGGGTGATTTAGTTGTAAGGAGGGAGATGTCGTTTCGGTGATGATTTGCTTGTGTTTGGGAATGAATTAGTGATTGACGATGCTTTAATTCCCGTATTGATTTAGTGATTGTACATGTTGGGTTTTGGTTTCACAATTTAGGACATAATTAATACTTTATTAAAATGTTTAATTAGTTTAAGAGTTACTAATCAAATCACCGTAAAAAAAAGGGTACCCGATCTAATTTCCTCTTAAAAAAAAATTAAAATTGGGTTGGTTTGGATTAATTTTAAATTAAATTACAAAAGAACCAGATTTTTGAGTTCCATAGAGTTTGAGCCTAAGGCAATACCTTCACCTGTTTCGTCTTATGTTCGGTTCTGGATAGCCCCAAGTAACATAGTAGTCGGAGCTATTATTGCAGCCATAATCGTAAAAGCAAATAGCGTGTGAAAGGTAAATTCTATGTTATCGTAAGAAGAATAATCTAACATTTAAGGATTACATCTTTAACAATCAACCTTGAAGAAAATAACTCAAATGGAATGGTAATTTAAAATTGAAAATAATAGAGTTTTGGGCTATTTCATTTAACAATTTTGATATTTTAAGGTGAAATTCTAAGATTTAATGGATAGATGACAACCTTCCAAACTTTAAAAAAGAAAAAAGAAAAAGAAAACTCAAAGAATAATATGGAATTGAATTTGTGAAGCACATGTTTTAGTCAACGTGTTCATCTTCTATGATTGACACAGTATCCCATGGCTTCTTCCAATTTTATATGCAGTCACCAAATCTACCGTTCCTGCAATGGCAAAACCCACTTCAATTCTTTGTCAACTCGTGAACAATGACATTGAAAGATAGGGACATTTTGTGCTATTTACCCTTGGATGGAATTATAGAGGACAATCAACTTGATATGCATTTTGCCAATAATACAAACAAAATAGTCCTTTAAAATATGTAAACAACAACATTCATTATTGGGTTTGCTAACAAGGGTTTATGGCAACAGTCAATAAATGTATGTTGTAGTTGGTTAACTCAATTGAGATTTGACAATAAAATATTAATGCATATTACAAACGTATCCTTTTGCAACGTTCGTCGTCTGTTACAAAAAAGTTTATATATCATCTACATTATCAAAGTTAATTTGTTCGTTTCTAATAATATCATTTGCAATGTTCAGTTTCTGTTGCATAAAAGTTCATATATTTCATACATTTAACTATGAATTTGATTGCTATTAAATGAAATGAAATTATTTACATTTAGCAACAAACATTGTCTATTTTTAATAAACTCAGCAAATCTGAACCATTAACAAGGACGTGATACTTTGTCAACTCATGAACAACGTTAGAATGGGGAATTATAGCCTCATTGCTCGAAGAATTTGTGGTCAATTCGAAAAGTTGTACCGGCTCTTGTGGTGCAATCAACTGTCCCGCCATCAAGGAAATGATGAACACAACAATCTAGAAACCCTTGATTCAAAATTTATTATTGCTTTGTATTAAAAGAGAAGTGACGGACTTGCCATTTCATTCATTGATACAAGCTAGCTTTAATTTTGTTGGTAGCTAGATGTTCTATGAACTTCAATTTGTATATTTGCTGCTAAGTGATGAAGCAAGAAAATATGAACCATCTGAATTTTATGTTGTTTTACTCTTCTTGGTGCAATTGCCAGCTTAGTCTTGGCACTAGCGAAGTTAAGCTCGGTAAATTCGTAATGGCACCACCACTTTTTGGAAGCATAAAAATCATCCACCTTTGCACCTCCAAACCCTAGAAGCTTCTCTTGATGGGCTTAAATGATTTGGCATTGTAGACTACTCACGAATTTTAAATAATCAAGTTGAAGGAGGAGTTCATGTTTTCGGGTTATGTATCGTTACAATTTTCTGACTTCATGTAACTAGACTGGACTCTGATTATGTTAGCGAATTTTACGTAATTTTAGTGCTAGAATGCATTATCAAACCCATATATGATTTGTTACTAAGGAGAATATATCACAGCATTTTTGTCAACAGACCTTGCTGCTTGATTAAAACTTGTGATCTTCGCTGTGCAATCCTAATTCTCAATGAAAATGTTACAATGTTGTTTCATTTCCTCTATTTGCATTTTCTTTTGGTTCCTGTTATTAAATTCAATTTTTTATTTAGTATTTTCCATCTGAAGCATGCCTGTTTTCGTATAGAACATATAAAAAAAAGTTATTCTTCCAAACTAGTCATCGTATCGGACCTTTATTGTCATGCTCCATTGTATTCATCAATTTCCTTAGTACTTTAAGGATTTTTGTCATACCAATGTTTTGAAACGTCCCAATAAATTTTAGTTTTCATACCTGATAAATGCCGCTAACGAGCCAATAATTCTTACAGATGAAGAAGATCTCATCATACTTTAGGCCCATGCTGTTCATGGGAATAACTGGGCTTCAATTGCAAGGCTTTGCTAGAAGTACATACAATGCAATTAAGAACCATTGAAATTCCACATTGATGTGTCGCCGCATGCAACTTGGAAAATTTAAGTTGGAACCCATTAATGTCACGGAAGATGCTGGTGCAGAAAAATTAAAAGGATCATACGAAGAAACTTCATCATATGGCCATGCCAGCTACTTGAAATCCTCTTAAGGGAAAGATGTTTGCACTCTGGAACTTGCGAGTCACGGGCACCATGAAGAGAGGGGTTTAGTCACAAGGTGTCAAGGTCCCAAGGACATGTTCTTCCTCTACAAAGCAAAAGTCTGATGAATCAATGCAGGAAAAAGGCTGTGTTTCATTGGATTTTAATATTTCTTTGATGATCATGATAGTACTGATTGTGTTGAAGATAAGTCCTTGATCATGTTATAGGGCGCTTCTTGAAAATGTTGATAGATGCAGTCTTTAATATGAAAGAATACTAGGAGACAAAAGTATATATTTGTTTTTCAATTAATTTTTTTTTTCGAGAGATTCATATATAGACCTCAATGTTTAATTCTCTTCACGTTTCATCCTTGTAAAGAGGTTCCCAATGGATTATCTTTTTTCAAAGACAGTTTTTAGTTTTATTTGTTGTTGTTGTTCTTCTTCTTCTTTTCGAAGATAGATTCTTGTAAATAGAGACCCCAACGCTATTTCAAAATATTTTTTAAAAAACAAATATTTGATGCCACAAAGTCAATATTTTTCATTGGTTGCTTATAAATCGGTGAAAACAGAAATAACTACTTAAGTAGGGCACCAAATGATTGGGTCTGGACTTTTTAGAACTATAGATTAGACTGGATTTTGAGATTTGGAACAGATTAGATTTTCTTAATAATTTAAAAATATTTTAAAATGTTATTAGAAATAATAAAACTGTAAAGTTGAGAAAATAGCAAAAAAAAAAAAAGGAATTAAATGAATGAAGAACTAAATTCAATTAATCGTGACACTGAAGTTTGAAGCACTTACAAATTTGGTTATGTTAGAAGACTCCATTGTGCAAGCACAACAATAGTGAAATTACGTGAAATCCCTTGATAAATTGCTCAACTCTAAATAGCATTTTCTTCCTCCATTTGAACTCTTGTCGACACGTTCAGACCTTCATAGGATGTTGTGCATTGTCATTATTCCAACCATGGCAGTTCTCTATGCACGAAAAGAATAATGCGACATTCTATCTTAAATTTTTCATCACTGTTTCTAAACACCGAAAGCCATCTTGATAGTGTTTCTACTAGAAGAGTGACGGTAGTTTTGTTCCGCATTTCAAAACCTTCTTCGATGGTGATTTGTCCAATTCTAGAATTCTTCAAAATATTATTTTATGTCAGTACATTTACCCGGGGGTGATATATCCAAGCGTACGCGCGAATCACAATTCCAGTTCCTATTTTCTTTTATGAATGGGATTGGAACCTCTGGTTTGAAAGGTTCGATTA